GCCCCAGCCCCTCTCCCTGAGCTCCCAGGGGGATGGCGAGGTGGGCGATGGGGCTGAGAGCCGGCGCTGTGCCCTCCTGGAGCAAGCAGGTGAGGGGGGCTGGGGGCTGTCGCTCTGCTCGTCCCTGCCCAGTGTGCCCGCATTGCCCATGCTGTCCCTGCCGTGGGTGAGCGCTGCCGGCCAGGCGCCGGGCACTCAGCTGGCAGTGAAACTCTGAGCCCCAAGCACAGCTGAGCCCTGACCCACACGCTGGCTGGCTGCGGGGTCCCATGCATGGGGAGTTGGGGCCCTGTTCTAGTTTTGGGGTGCTGTTTCAATCCATGGACCCTTCTGCCTCAGTTTCCCCATCCTTATAATGAGGTGAAGGAGTCAGTGTAGCGCTAACCCAGCAGGGACCAGGCTGCCTCATCCCTCTGGGTCCCCCTTCCCCATGGGCTCGCCCTGTGCCTGGGCACCAGGGTTCAGCTGCACCAGTGCCCCAAAATTGCAGCTATCTGCAAGCGCTTCATAAGCACGAATGGCTCAACCCTGGCAGGGTTAGTCCTCCCGTGGATGCAGACACCTTGCAGGCCGGCAAAGCCCACGGTCCCCGGCCCCCTGCCAGGCCAGGGTGGGCAGAGGGGCCTTGGCTCCCACCACGAGCACCGCGGGCGCTGGAGGGAACACAGCTCTGCTGGTAACCCTGCTTCTCTCCCTGCCTTTCAGAAACACCCAGGTGTCTCACGCTGTCCTTGGCACAAACGTAAGTGCACATGGGGCTAAATGAACTGTGCTGGGGCTGGAAAGCTGCCTCGGTTTGTCTGGCTGGGCATGCATCTGCAGTGACCAAGCGAAGCGGCTTTTGCAGAGCAGACAGAGCCGTGCAGCGGGGCGTGGGGCTGCGGGGAGCTGTGGCCCGTACTCTGGTGCAAGGAGCTCGGAGAGCCCCGGCCCGAGGGCAGGGCATATCTGCATGCCAGAGGTGACATGCCCCGGCACTCTGGTTGGGACAGGGAGGGCATGCTGCTCGCCCCGCTGCCCCTCTCACCCCTCCGCGGGGTTACTCCATCAGGCACTGGCCGTGGTGGGAGGGCTCGCTTCTAGGCAGTTTTCTCATCTTCCTTTTGTTTTGGGGGGACTGTGGTTCCCCTAAACACCTTCTCTCTCCTCATTTTCTCCTCCAGTGACCCAACCTTTGGGAAGAGAAACTTTGAGCCGATGCTGACCGTGGAGCTGTGTGGGACAGCAGGTAGGACAGGCTTTTAATATTTTAATTTTGCAAAAATCCTCACTGGGAGGGGGAAAATTTTCCCTAAATTCAGCCTGGAGTTGCTGGCTCCAGCTGAGCCCAGCTGAGCAGGCATGTTCATCCCCTGGCCCGGGAGCCCCCCTTTGCACCACAAACACAGGGCACTGCAAGCAGCTTGCAAGCTGCATCCTTCAGAGATACCAGTGCTGGGGGTACACATTTGGGATGGGGAGGCAGCTCAGGGGGCCCTTGCATGAGCCAGGAGGGAAGGGAGAGTCCTCTGGTCCCTTCTGCGATCAGGCATCCTTTTTTCCCAAGTGCCACTGGATGGATGAGGCTGCGGGGGCCAAGCAGCCTCCCTCCCTTGCAACGCCTGGTGCAGCTCAGTCGTCAGGGTGGGACGGGGCAGGACGGCGGGGGCAGAGCTGACTCCTGGCCTTTGTTTGGCGGGGTTCAGGTCTCACACCACCCACCACTCCACCGTACAAGCCCGCCGAGGAGGACCTGTACAAGCCAGACATCCCCCAGGAGCCAGGGAAGGAGGATGGGACAGCCCCCAGCCCTGGGGGCACAGGGGATGCGGCAGCCTCCCGGAAAGCCCCCAAGAAGCACCCCGAGAGGACAGAGCTCTTCGCCCACCTGAGCCGAGCCGCTGGGCGCCCCGTGCTCCCTGAGCAGCAGGGCATGCTCAAGCGGCCCTTCTCCCGCTCTTTCGGGGACCATGACTACTGCCAGGTGCTGAAGCCTGAGGCTGCCCTGCAGAGGAAGGTGCTCAAGTCGTGGGAGCCCCCAGGCCAGGTGGAGACGGAGCACAAGAGGAGGGTCCCAGCTGCCCACTACCAGGGGCTGGACCTTGGCAGCAAGGAGGCGTGCGGCGAGATGCTGTGGAAGGACAGCGTTAAGCAGCTGAGAGACCAGGAGATCAGAGCCAGCTTAACGAAGCACTTTGGCTTTCTGGACAGTGCTCTTGATGAGGACATGGTCTTCTGCAAGACCCCTGAGTATGACACCGTCTTTGAAGACAGCTGTAGTGAGAGCGGCTCTCCAGTGGAGGAGGAGGAGGAGGAAGAGGATGATGATGAGGAGCACGGTGACACCAAGCTGTGTCTGCGGAGAAACCCCCTTTCCAGGACCAGTTTGCATTACTGTTCCCGGAGCAGGTCCAGCTCAGGGTCTTCGTGCTGCCGGTCCCGATCGCCTGCAAGCAGACGGACCTTCAGGTACAGGGGACAGCGGCGGGGGACACATGGGGCTGTTCTCGCACCCTGTGTTTTTGCCCTGGTGCGTGGCAGCCCCGTCTCTCTCTGGTCTGCTAGCCCAAGTAATAAAGATGCTAATTAATGAAAGAAAAAACATTGAAAAAATTGGTACTGCATCAGCAGCTGCTGAAAACATTAGCCATGGCCAGAGAAAGCAGCACTAGGTGGGGAAGGAGCCAGGGATTTCCATTGCGCTGGGGGTGATGGGGCATGGGCAGGGGCCGGAGCCATGCCTGGGAAGGGGCGAGTGCCAGCTGGGATGCCCCCCAGCATCTGTTGGAAAGGACTTTCCAGTGTCCTTTCCAGTGTTTCCAGACGCCCATATCTCCTCGGCTGCTGGTGCTTCCAAGCACCCACCCACCCACTGCTGCAGACGCTGCATGCCTTGGCTTCTCTTTGATGTTTGAAGCTTTCCCCGCCGGATCCACCCCACGCCCCCGCTGACCTCTTCTCCCTTGCTTCCCAGGTGTGAGAACGGCGAGCAGTGTCAGGGCGGGAGCGGGCACCGGGGCCAGCTGGAGAAGAGACGGGAAAAAGCCATCGTAAGTGAGCGGGGACCCTGCGCTGGGACAAAGCAATACTGAGCCCTCAGTTCATCTCCTGCTCCAGAAAAGCAGTGGTGGAGCCCATTAGCCCTGGCTTCAGCATCCCTTGGTGTGAGGCCAGTGTTAAACAAGGACATGGGGGTGGAAGGGGGAGAGAAAAACCTAATGTGAAGCAGAAGCCACCAGCGATTGGCAATACATGGAGTCCTTGGCGCAGAAATGCCCAGAACATCCTACGCCAGTGCTTCAGCACACGTGGCATTGGCAATTAGCGGGGTGAGCTGGGGAATCCCTGAAGCTGCTCAGCCATTATGGATATGGTCCTGCTGCAGAAGCAGCCTTGTGCACCGGGAACCCTGCATGTGCCCACAAGTGGGAGCTGGGTGGGTGGGCGTGCGGTGAAATAACTTGTCGGTCCTCTCTACTGTTGTGCGCACACACACGCACACGCTCACATGCTTCTGGCATTTTTTTTCTGCAGTGCAATTGAATTTTGCCCCAAGCAATTCTTGGGAATATTTCCTGGCATCTTCACCAGGAGAAGCTGAAAAAGCTGCAGGAATGCAGGAGAAGTTTAAATGAGAAGGCGGCAGGGGCGGCTGGTTC